CGTAGACACGCCCCGGAGTCCCTGAAGTCCCGGCTTGTGAGCCCTGGCCTCTTCCTCGACCCATTCCTTGGCCCATCTGGCCAGCTTGCGGTGTCCCTGCACGAGAAATAGTAGGGCCTTGTGCTGCACCCTGAAACTGGTACTGGCTGCCCTGACCCGTAGTAGGGTAGTGAGGAGCATACTGCGTCTGTGGTTGCCCCACTGAAGTCTGAGATTGCGACGACCCATGACCCTGAGATCCCTGCCTCTGAGGACAATCCCTCTTCATGTGACCCGGTTGGTGGCAATGATAGCAAGTTCTCTGGCCAACCTGGTAGGAAGGTCTCTGATTTCTCCCACCTTGGGAGGATTGACTTTGGCCTTGGCCTTGATAACTGCGGCCCTGTACCTGAAATCCTTGTGGAGTAGAAGCCTTTGCTTCTTCCTCGAGCTAGAAGAAGAGGATTGGCCTTCCTTCTTCTTGTCTTTTGCACTAGACTCCCGGATGCTCCTTGCGTCATCCACCTCTCTCTCAATGGCCAAAGCTGTGGTGACCATCAAGTCGAAGTCTTGTAGTAGAAGACCGACGATTTTACCCTGGATGGATAACTTCAGCCCATCCTCAAATTTTCTAACCTTGGCCATATTTGTGGCCACATATTGGTCAGCGAAACGTGCTAACTCAGTGAATTTAGCCACGTATTCCATCACTGACATCGTTCCTTGCCTCAGATCTAGGAACTCCCGGGCCTTTGCATGCCTCGCAGTCGCCGGGAAATATTTTCCCATGAAAAGTTCCTGGAACTCTACCCATGTCATGGCCTCCAAGTTCTTGGAGTCTTTCACCCAATCCCACCATACTTGGGATTCCCCCTCCAACTGGAATGTAGCTAGAGTTATCTTGGTGGCGTCAGAGGTGATCTCCATTGTCCTCAAGATCTTGTCAACCTGCCGGAACCAATGATCAGCTACCATCGGGTCCGCCCCTCCTATAAAGATCGGCGGTTGATGTGCCTTGAACTTCTGGAGATGACTGGAGTCTCCTTGGCCCCCACTTGTACCCGTTTGTGCAATAGTAGCGGCCGTAGCACTAGCTTGTGCAATGGTAGCCACCGCTGCACCAATAGCTTCCATGAAGGCTTGTTGGTCAAAGGCCGGTGGTGGTTGGTTGTTGTTCCGCCTACCACCTCTGCCTCGGCCGCGTCCTCTTCCCCTTCCTCTATTTTTCATCTACACACATGTCAAATAGAAACAGAGCATTTACTTAGTATCCCAAGATAGAAATCAAGTATTTAAACTTAGAGATTTTCCTCCTTGTTTCACTAGTAGTGCGTGTGCCACCTACTAGTAGACATTTACACATAAAACTATACCATTCATTCTTTTTTTTTTTGAACCCAAGGTTATGTTTTCTAACCCTAGTGTTTGTTTTTTTTTTTTTTCATGTGCCTTTTACCATGCATATCATTCACATAATCACCTAGCAAGTAATTATGTTTCACATAACACGTTGCACAAAACATGTAACAATTTAAACACATAAGATGAGATGCACAATGCATGCAATGATCTAGTCCCAATGGTAAATCGTATAACCTAGGCTCTGATACCAAGCTGTGACACCCCAAATTCATGGGGTCCGTTAATATCCCATCAACCCACGGAATGCCCGTGGATACCGTATAACTCGATATCGCACCGTTGTGTCCCATTTACCGGGATCTATAATTTAACGAAATCCGGGCAGAGTCTCCTTTGTACGGGAAGCTCTACCCCAAAACACAATCTGTGCAATCAACATTTACATGACCCATCCGAGGTTAATATAATACCATAACCACACAGGGTCCATTTTATACGTAAAACTTGACCACACCGGATCCAATCATCATATTTATATCAAAATATGCAAGGTTATATTAAAACAGTCCATATAGACTCTATTACAATTCCTTTACACATTACATGCCAAAATTTAATTACAAATCTACTTTTAAAAAAAAAAAAAAATGGATTGGAAGCCACAAGTCGGCTTTTCTTCAACCATGTGACCCTGATTGTGAGCCGTCCATTGGTGCATGACCCACACTTGAAATGTTTCCCGTATAGGGTGAGCCAATGCCTAGTAGAATAATCCCTACAGAGGCTACTCATCACCTAAAATGCATATGCAATGTATAAATGCAACATTTCACAACAAGTATTCCCTCCAACAATAACATATAATACAATGTTGGAAAATCATGATGCCATGCCAAGTAATGAGATAAAACTCACTCATGCATGCTATCCCGAGCCCACACCGACTCCCACAACACAATGCGACACTTACGTGTAAAACAAACGTCTTTGATGAAACACATCCAAAGATCATTTTGAAATTAACCATATGTCATAAAACTAATTCATTCTTGAATGTTTCCCATCAAATGAATAATTTATATATCAAAATCATGTGCCTTTATGGGGTATCGGATTCAGGAATCGCACCTCCGGCTCCGTACGCCGTTACACTTTTCTGGAATTTCACCGCCGGTAAGTGTATGAACCAAGTGGCCGGGTTTTTCACCCGAGGGAGTGTTTAGCCCTACTTGCTATACCCGACACAAGTTTTCTTATGCATGTCACCGTGCGACTCCGTAGGACGTTCCATCCCACTTTCCCGAGCTTACCATCAAGTACCAATGTTGGTGTTGATCACCCCATGCAACCCTACACCCACACTCATGCATGTAGCCCATGAATGTGATGTTAATTCCATGTCCATATTGCAATGCATGCTAAATGACAATTTTTAAATATCATTGTATACCATGGCAATTAATATCATTTGCATATAATCACATAACCATTTCAAGTTCAATATATCCAAGAGCATATATCAACACTCCATCAACATGATAACACATAATACATGCTAATATTACATTTCATTCACAAGGCATAATATAAAAACACAAAGCATGCCCACATGATCCCAATTTCCAAGGGATTGCATAAATACTTCCATATACCAAAATCAAGCCAAGATTTTATATGGATCATTCAAACAAAATAAAAATCAGAATATATGATTTTTATATAACCAATTATCTAAACATTCAAGAAATCACAAACTAGCACTTTTTAACTACCAATTCACACTAGAATTGATCCTACCCATTTCCATAGCACCAATCATAATGGAAAAATATTAGAAATACCCAAAACAACCCACATGAACCCTATGGACACCTTAGGTTAGAAATAGGTCCGAGTAGGAGAAACCCTACCTCTTGAAGCGTAAAGAATTTGTAGGAAGCCTCAAGAACAAGATTAAAACCCAAAGCTTAGATTTCTCCAAAATCCTCCCTTTGAATCTTCGGTGAAAATCTTTGTTTTTGGTACCCACGCGTAGCTCTCGTCGCGTAGATCGATTTTAATTCTTGGCCCGACGAATTCCGACTGACGGAACTCCGAGAATCGGCGAAAGAAAGCTTGAAGAATTATATTTTTTTCTTCTTTGCTCTTGGGTCTGATCCAGCCGGCCAAATGAAGAGAAAATATCTGATTTTTCAGATATTTGCCCACTTTTATACTTTCTAAACAATTGGCCTTCGTCGCGCCAAGTGTCGTCCTTTGTCCGGGTCCATTTTCACCCTGAAACGATTAAATTTCGTATCGATTTAAACTCAAAATATTTATATGAACTTTATTTAAAATATTTTTCAAATTTTAAAATTTTTATAAAAATTTCGTTTTTAGGGGTCATCGAACACCCGTCACCTCGAAAAACTTGAAAAATCTGACTATCTCAAAATTCGACGAAATTTGTCTTGGTAACCAGATTTCGTGAGACGAATCCAACATTGAGGTCCGTTTCATCATCCGAGGTCTATAAAAATACCAATTTTTTTTTAACCCGCACTATAATGGCAAATTATCATTTTGCCTTTTTTTTTTCAGAAAAAGTTAAAATTTTTCCCGGGTTTCACACCCTAGGGATAGGAAATATGGTTTTCCATCTTCTTACCCGATACATTGCCGAAGAATTTTTTCTTAACCTATCCTACCTGATCAAGTGTGGTATTTCTACCCGACTTTCGGCCAAATTAATCGGGTAGAAAATCAGGTGAACACTTTTGTAATTATTAATTTTTGAATCATTTTTACAATTCAATTAAATAACATGCACCAATTTAACAACACAATAAACCAATAACACTAAAACCTAAAATAATTACAACAAATCACAAGAAAACATAAACATCAATCTATCATAATTGTTGCACAAAAATAATAACAGTTATTTTAAATTTAAATCATATGGTTAGGGAATTAGGATTTTTAATTTATATATATAAATTAATGTGGGTAGGATAGGGTAGGAATACGAAAATTAATGACTATTTCGCATTCCTACCCGATTTTTTCGCCTAGCTGTTCAATAGGGTTGAGTAGGGTCAGGTAAGGTAGAAAATTGTGGCTAATTGGAAATTTGAACACCCCTTGAGTTTATAGTTGAATTTTGAGCTGGCAAGTAGGGCTGCTAATCAAACCGAATTTATAGTTGAATTTTGAGGTGACAATAGGGCTGTTAATCAAATCGAGCTATTTGAGTTTGACTCGTTCAAGTTCGGCTTGTCTTTTAAACGAGTTGATCTTGAACAATTTGTTAGGCTCATTTGAAAAACAAGTCCGATAGCTCGGCTTAAACTCAACAGACTTGATTCGTTTATGTGAAAATATTCGGGCTTGGCTCGACTTCGGCTTGCTCTGGCTTGACTCGTATTCTAAACGAGTTGAACTTAAACATTTTTTTAGGTTCGCTTAAAAAAACAAGCTTGTTCGACTATCTAGTGACAAGCATAGAATCGCCATGTAAAAAGCAGAAAAAACCAGAATATATAAGCTTGCCTGGTTGTGTTGTAGTAGACAGTAAACATGAGTAAGTGTCATTTCAGTAGTTCTATATGGAGACTTTGTGACTCACAATGCACTGGGAATATCAATGTTATGCTTAAACAGCATGTCATTTTGTTATGCAGAATGACAACGGAAGGGTGATTTGTGATGGTGTAAATGTTGTAGGCTTTGAGTATACATATCCTAGAGTTAGAATTCATCGAGGTGTTTCTGTAATAGTCAAAAATAGGTGGTTAGCGAAATATTATATAATTAGAATGTACCTGCTCACAATGTACTTTTACAAAGTTAGCATTTGGAAATTATAGTGAGAGTATATAGAGTTTGTCCATCCTATATTTGGCTTAGTTGTTTTCCAAAAGTGAACCCAGTGGAGAGTGACAAGAAGATGGAGTGCTAAAGATTAAATTGCGGAATGATGATTTGGATAGTGTCCAGACTCCATACCATGTTTGACAAGGAAAAAAGGTTGTTACTTGGGGAGGTTTTAGTTTCTTGAGTACCATTCCAAAATGCAAATTGCCTGGGAATTAGCATATTCTGGTAAGAATGGTGAATACCTAGAAAGTTTGAGGAATGTTTGCGAAGTGCATGAAGTTTCAACGGGGAAGGAAGATTTGTGTTGATATCAAATAAAAATAAAAATAAAAATAAAAATGGAGTGATCTCATATTTTTTATTTGTTACTTCCATGGGTTTTTTTTTTATTTTTTATTTTTCTGACATTCATTGATTCACAACTCACAAGAACATCGAGGGTAGCTTATTGTGTCTTCCTTATAAAAATGCCCAAGTTTGTCTAAATTCAAAAGGTAGTTCATAAAAATAAGTGACTGTTGAGAAACTGATAGTCCGTTCTTTCCCAGTCTTCAACTCCTTCCTTTCTCATATGAGAAGAGACCAAATTTCTAGAAGGGGATATCACTCAAAAAGAACAAGGCAAGTTTTTCTGTTTATCTAGTTTGGTTCTGTTGATGGCAATGACTTTATCTTGCCCAAGGATTGATATCTGCGATAGATATTCTTTTATTTTTTGGCTGCAATAGTTATTGTACTTAGATTAGTGTTATTTCCTTTCATTTCAACAGACTGATGCCTTTTTTGAGCTGTTGCTACTAATTTTCATGTGAAAATATTGATCCCATTTTCTGTTTGATGGCATAGTCAAGGGGTTTGTTGTCTATTATTTGCTTAGTTAAAGATTAATTGCAGATCCATCAAATATCGTGTTGATTGAATCGGAAGAGCAATTTAATAATTCACTACAGAAGGTTCAGGGTATGCATTTATTTTTTATTTGATGTATTTTCTGTTCCCATTTTTTTAGCATTTGTTTAAATTATTAGAGAACTTTAGATTGCTAACATATCATTTGGAATGTGGTACTAGATGAATCTTTGCCAGCGGTATTCTACTTCACAGCAGTCTGGTGTGGCCCATGTAAGATTCTTAACCTTTACTGATGGGTGACAACTTTGTTATTAGTACAAGCTACTATTTGCTGTATTTTGTACTCCATGGAAGTTTTTTTATAATTAAATTTATGATATATTTTTCTTGTGTAGGCAGATTATTATCTCCTATCATTGGGCAGTTGGGTGAAAAATATCCTCATGTGACTACATATAAAATCGATATTGATAAGGTAAGAAGGCTTTATCCTACCAGCATGTATTTTTATTTTAGCAACTTTGAAAAGGCATTCATGAGAATTGGGATGGGTGAATTGGTGATAAAAGGGATTATGAATGCCCTAAGAAGCAAGAACATGGACACGGGACAAGGATACGATACAACATGGACAAACCTACACAAAATTTTTAAAAAAAAGGTAAGATACGGACATGTTCAGCGACATGTTAAATATTATGTATTTGTGTGTGTGTGTATGTATGTATGTATGATCATATGAGAAGATTAAGATATTTGAATAATAATCATTCAAATCATTCTTTTATTACTTCTAACAATTCACATTATAAAATATTGAACAAACAAAAAATAATAAATTAGATAACCTTCATGATCCAACAATCAATAACCAATACAATATCAATTTAGAAAAATATCCCACTTCGTAACCTTAATTTTTATTCAATTCCAAACCCAGTTTCATGAGCATATTTTTCCTCGAATTACTTCCATATAAAAAGTGTATTCCATTTGTATATTATTTTGTAATCATGTCCAAAATTATGTTTATATTAGTGTCCTATGTTTATATAGTGTTTGTTATTTTTTTGTTGGTTATAACTTCGACCCAAATTCTTTAAAACTAAATAACTTATACAATTAATTTAAAAGTTTTTAAAATTGTTTAAAACAATCTTAACACAAGTCACCCGACGTGTTCCGAGAGTGTTGGTTGAGTGTCCCAATTGTGTCTTGAGTTTGCCAGTCATGTGTCCCCAACATGTTCAGAAAAAAATATAATAATAAAAAATGGATACTCATTTTAGCGTGCTCATGTCCCATACATTTCCAATACGGACACACCGGCAAAAATCAAGTGTCCATGCTTCCTAATTTTTTTGGTAAAGCGTAGGCTTTCATTTCCTTTCTATATTTCATCTTGAGTTAATTTCTGTCTACATCTACCCCCTCGTATTACCATCAATAAATATCACATTACTCTTTCTCACAAAAGCATTGTTCGCCTTCAGTAAATATGTTCTAACCAGTTAAATTGATTCTTTATTGATGTGTTCTATTGGTTTTACCTCTACCAATTGCTGAATAAACTTTATTAATTCTTTATTTTCAAGTTTTACCATACATCCATCCAAGCATATGCATTTTAGCCACACATAGTTTTTTAACTTGTCATTTTTTAGTTGCCCAGTATAATTTACTAAAATTATTTTTAGTCCAATAGTTGTTTTGGAGACCTTAACTTTTAGTTTAAGAGGTATGCAATAATTATTCGATAGACCAATGGCTCGTTTGGCTGTCATATTTCAAAGAGCACAGATTGGATTGTGGAATTTAGACAGGATTAAGCAGGGTTTGGATTCGACAATTTAGCCTAATCTTGTGTAGACTAATAAAATACAAACTTTAATGGATGACAAAAATACCACATATTCAAACCTTGCATTTAGAAGATACTGAAATAAGAGCTATATGATAGTTATCTAGTCTAGTCCCATTTGGTCACTTCACTTGATCACTTAACTTATGATACAAACATTGGACTGACCAAAATGCCCCCATCCTGTCGTGTCTAAAAACCTCTCCTTTTAGTTGGTGCATATTAGAAAAACTTGACAATCTTATGGTGATATCATGCAATGTTGCAGATTACTGAACAAACCTATTAATTGCCATTAGGTGATTTTTAAGCATGTTTATAAGCATCCAAGCAAACAGCAAACCTTGAAAAACATGTCAGTGGGACATGAAATTAAGCCAACCAGCATCCTTTATTCTCTTGCTCTTTGAATGGCATGAACCCCAATATTCCTTCCTCGGAAACAAAAGAACCCCACTCGTTTTCACAACTCTTCCAGTTCCCTTCATTTGTGTTTTTGCTATTAGAAGTAATTGTACTGATCAGGTACATAAGACAAGAAGTAATTATGCCTTGCGCAATGAGGCCAATCACCCACTTCATAACCTAATCCCCTTGCCAACCCTTTAATTTTACTCCCTGAAGCATTAATTCCCGCCACAAGACTCTTGGACATGTTCAGCTTCAAACTCGATACCAAACTTGAGATCTTAACAATATCCACAAAATTCTGAAATTTAAGCTCATTCCCTGACAAGAAAAAGATTGTATCGTCAGCAACCTGAAGATGAGAACCTCAATCCTATCCACTATAAAACCTTCCACTAGATTGTTTTCCAAACCCCTATCCACCAATCTGTCTAACCTATCCACCACCAAGGTGAAGTGGAAAGGAGAAAGAGGATCCCCAGCTTCAGACCCCTAGAAGCATTAATTGGTTGGCCATTTATAATTACCAAAAAATTCATAGAATTTAAGCATCCCTTAATCCTTCTTCTCCACCTATTTCCTTAACCTTTAACTTTGAGAATAAAATCCAAGAAACTTCAACCCACATGATCGTATGCTTTTTCAAAATCTATTTTAAAAACAGCCTCTTCCTTATCTTTTACTCTGGAATTCTCAACCACTTTATTAGCTACCAAAAACACTATCTAAAATTTGCCTCCCCATAACAAAAGCACTATGACTTTTAGAGATTGTCTCCCCCATAATTGCCCTTAATCTAATGGACAACACCTTTGCTAAGATCTTATACGAACTTGTAACTAAATTGATAGGTGTGAAATCACCAATTTTCAAAGAATTTTGTCTTTTAGAGATCAAACAAATGAAAGTAGCATTAGTATTCACCTTGACCACACCATTCTCAAAAAAATCCCTAAAAGACCTTCATTAAATCATCTTTTGTCACTTCCTAGCTGTGACAGTAGGAAGAATACGGTTTAGAGAGAATGTCATAGACGAGGTAGTGAGAGAGAATGTTTCTCAATCACATCTCTCCATTCCATATATATATATATGTATCCAATAATAAAGAAAAGACTTATATATATCCCTTAAGGGGTATCCTTATTACAATAATACCATTCCTATATTCTAACACTCTCACTCAAGCTGTGAGTATATCTCATGTAATCCCAACTTGGAATAATATTTCTCAAACGAGTACTACTCAAGGATTTAGTAAACATATTAACAAGTTGATCTTTAGACTTGACAAATGGTGTGATAATATCTCCTTGCAACGCCTTTTCTCAAACGAAGTGACAATCAACTTCAATGTGTTTCATTCGTTCATGAAACACATGATTAGAAGCTATATGAACAGCCTATCATAGAACAACTGAAGTGGAGTTTGAGCTGGATAATCGATTTCCTGAAGGAAGTGTTGTAGCCACGTTAACTCGCTGCATGTGTGAGCCATTACCTGGGATTCAGCCTCTCCACTAGATCATGCCACCATTATTTGCTTCTTACTCTTCAAGGTAACCTGATTGTCCCCTAGAAATGTACAATATCATGTAGTAAAACGTCTATTTGAAGGAGACTTTGCCCAATCTAAATCTGTGAATCCTTCCAATTGAAGGCGTCCATGCGATTGATAGAACAATTCAACTCTCGGAGCTTGCTTGAGATAACGAATGCTATGAATGACAACATCCCAATGTGGTACTCGATGAGTCTTTATAAACTGACTAACCACACTACATATGAGATATCTAGTTGAGTAATGGTGAGGTAATTCAACTTTCCTGGTAGACGCCGATACTGTGCATGATTAGAGAAACATTCACCCTTAGTCCCTGAGAGTTTATGATTAGGATCCATAGAGACGTTAATTTGTAGACCACCTAAAAATCATGTTTCCTTCAAAAAATAAAGCACATATTTTCTCTAGGATAGGCTAATGCCCTATTTAGATCTAAAGTATCCAAGTTTGCTTAAATCTTTGGTATGAAATTGATGTTGTAAAAACTGTTTCAACTTTGCAATACCCACTGAATCATCACTTGTAATCACAATATTATCAACATAAACAACAAGAAGGATATAACCTACCCCAGTTCGTAGATGAAATACCGAGTGATCTGTGTGGCACCTATGAAGACCAAACTCTAACACTGCTTCTGAAAATTTTTCAAAGTCCAAACCATGCGCATGGAGATTGTTTCAACCTCTACTAGACTTTCTTTAGTTTACACACATGTCCCTAATAATCCCCTTGAGCAACAAACTCAGGTGGTTGTTCCATGTAAATCTCTTTTGCTAGATCATCATGTAGAAACGCATTATTGACATCTATTGAAATAAGGGCTAGCTAAGATTAACAGTAAGCGAAATTAAAACTCTAACGGAGGAGATTTTAGCAATCGGAGAAAAGGTCTCAGAATAGTCAACACCATAGGTTTGGGTATATCATTTGGCAACCAAACAAGCTTTGAGACGATCTACAGTGTCATCAGGAAGAAATTTAATGGTATATATCCAACGACACCCAACAACCAACTTACCAAGAGGTAGCTAAACAAGATCCCAAGTATGATTGTGAAGGAGAGCATTCATTTTGTTAGCTATCCTCCAACCTGAATTCGACAAGGCATCTGCTGAAGTCTTAGGAACAGAGATATTGGATAACTGAGAAATAAAACAGAAAAAGGAAGGAGATAACAAATGAGAAGAAACATAGTGATGGGGTGGTTAGTAACACAAGAACTAATACCTCTACGAAGAGCAATAGGTAGAGAATCAGACATAATAGAGGAGGTCGGATTTGAAGACGACGTGGAAGTTGGTGGTAGAGTTGTTATAGATGACCTTGACTGTCAAGTATAAACACGAAAAGGGGTGGGAGGATGTGCACTTGGACTTATGGACAACAGAGGAACAAAGAATAAAGAAATCGAAATCAGAAATGGAAGTGGGGCTAACATCGACGACAACACAGTAGGACCCTTGAAAGGTACAGTAGAAGCAGAAAAATAAGGTGTCGATTCTTAAAAGGTAACATCAGCACTGATGAAAACTAGGGCCAAGATTGTGGACATAACATACACATCCAAATACTTTTGGAGGAAGAGTAAACAAAGAAGATTCAGGGAATAAGGCCGAATGTGGAGATTTTCCTTATAAGG